CATTTAAAAAATAGAATGCGAATATATTTTACTGAATAAAAAATCCGTGAAATAAATTTTCAAAATTTTAAATCAAGTGTAATCTTTTATTTTAAGAAATAGTATTTCAGAATGAAAAACCAAAATCGTTTTCTATTTTAAACTTAAAATTGAAAATTCAAAGAGGAAACCGAATTAGCCCATGCTAAGTTCTCATTTTCTGAATGTTGGAAATTATACATGATTCATGAATAATGAAAAAATTTAAATTTGATACATGAATTAGTTTATTTAATATTGATGCATTTATTTAAATCATGTATCCAAATGATTCTTTGTCTCATATTATTCATAGTATGTAGGAAAAGTCATTAATTAGTCTATTAAGTTCATACAATGTATTTGGGATCCTTTGTACCTATAAAAGGCCTTGCATTTGAGACATTTTATAAAGCCAAGCCATGGAATACAAATATTTTTTGAGAATTCTGTGAATTTTTCTATCTAGTCTTTAGGGTTATGGGTTTAGGGTTTGGGGGTTTTTTTGTTTTTTTTTTTTGGCAAATACCACTAGTGGGGCTTATTTTATAATATAGGAAATGAGAATACACATAAAGGAGGGCGATATAAACCTGACCTCCTGTAAGTGAAAAAAATTACAAATGTCTCAAATGAAGCGCAAATGACATTAAACGAAATGTGTCTAAAAAACTAGTGAATAATACTCAAGGGTATTCCCGAGGATAAATCTTTGGGTGATAGTACATAGACATCGATCCTGTCATGCGTTTGGTTTGTAGTTTTTGGGACACAGTATGCAAGCCATGTTTGGGATATGTCTTGGCTGCGGCAGGGACGCAACCTAATTTTTAGGAATTTCTAGGCAGTTTGTGGGCATCGTGTGCAGGCCACGTCAGGGACACGTCCTGGCCGCGGTAGGGACACAACCTTATTTTTAGGCATTTCTAGACAGTTTGTGGGCACGGTATGCAGGCAATGTTCGGGACGCTTCAAGCCACGTTAGGGACTCAAGCAGATTATCAACCAAACGAAAGAAGTACGGTGTGCAGGCCATGTTAGGGGTGTAAGCACGTTCCCAAGCATTCTGGGCAGTTTCTAGGACACGATGTACATGCCATATTCAGGAAAAGTCGTAGCCACGACAGGGACGCAGCCTCATTTTCAGGCATTTTTCGACAGTTTCTAGGCACTGTGTTCAGGCCATGTCCGGGATATAGCCTGATTTTTAGGCATTTCAAGGTAGTTTCTAGGTCACGGTGTGCAGGCCATTTCCAGGACGCGTTCGAGCTACGATAGTGATGGAGCCTGATTTTCAAGTATTTCAGGGCAGTTTTTGGGCACGGTGTACATGCCATGTCCGGGAAGCCTCCTGATTGCGACAGAAATGCACCCTGATTTCTAGGCATGTCTAGACAGTTTTTGGGACACTTTGTGCAAGCAATGTCCAGGATACGGCAGGGACACCGCTTGATTTTCAGGCATTTATGGGCAGTTTTGGGGCACTATGTGCAGGCCATGTCCGGGACGCATCCTGTTGCGGCAGGGACATAGCCTGATTTTCATTCATTTCTAAATAGTTTCTGGGTCACAATATGCAGGCCATGTCCAGGATGCTACAGGGACACATCCTAATTTTCACGTATTTCTACGCATTTTCTTGGACACGGTGTGCAGGCAATGTTCGGGACGCATCAGGGCTACTGCAAGGATGCAGCCTGATTTCCAGGCATTTGTGGGTAGTTTCTGGGACATGGTGTGTTGGCCATGTCCAGGATGTGGCAGGGATGCAGCCTAGTTTTCAAGCATTTCTAGGCAGTTTCTGGGATATGGTGTGCAGGCCATGTTCGGAATGCATCGGGGCCACGGGGGGTCACAGCCCGATTTTCAAGCATTTTTAGAAGTTTTTGGGCACGGTTGCAAGCCTTGTCCTAGACGCAGCCTAATTTTCAGGCATTTATCGTTAGTTTCTGGGTCACGGCGTGCAGGTCATGTCAAGGACGTGTTAGGGCCATGGTAGGGACAGAGCTTGATTTTTAGGTAATTCTAGGTAGTTTTTGGGGACGGTGTACAGGCCATGTCCAGGACGCCTCTTGGCCAGGTACGACGCAGCCTGATTTTCAGGCATTTCTAGGCAGTTTGTGGACACGGTGTGTTGGCCAAGTTCGGGACACTTTCTGGCCACTAAAGAGACGCAGCCTAATTTTCAGGTATTTCTAGGCAATTTCTAGGACTTGGTGTGCAGGCCAAGTTCGGGACGCGTCATGGCCACGGCAGATACGCAGATTAATTTTCAGGCATTTCTAGACAGATTCTGGGTCATGGGCTTTAGGGTTTAGGGTTTTTCTTCAATTAATTTTGAATTAAAAGTAGAAAATATATACGTGACAAAGAATAATAAAAATAAAATGTAGCTTAACGTTACAACCCATGAATAATAAAAAAGTCTTCACAACGAAACCAAACTTCCCACCGCCGTAGTGCCACAAATAAACCCCACCCCCGCCTTTAGGCCAGTACCACCGTTAGTCGGGGCTGGCACCGGTGCATGGTAGTTGTGACAGTGATGATGAGGAGAAGGTGCCTGCACTGTAGATATGTGGCTGGAGCCATGTTTATCGGATAGAACCATAACCTCTAGCGTTTGACCCTTCTGGCAATGTTCTTCAGCTCCACTGATGAAGAAAAATAGACCTGATTTTTCTAGTGAAATTGTAGTTTCTCTATCATGGTGTGATTTATACAAAGGAGAGAGATCGAAATTGTGGACTTCATCATATGAATGTCTATACTTGAAGTATTAGTGCTAGAGTCTGCATGTTGCTGTTAACCCAATGTACCACGAATGAACAAAATGCATTGAATTGGATTACCACACAGTACAATAAAAAAATTAAAGTGGGAAAATTGAGATAATCTAAATAGGTTGTTATTTACTAAATCACTAGAATAAGTTGTTTTTCACTAACAGCTTAGAAAATTTTAAGTTCTTGACTTTCACATTCCAACTTTGGGGAAGTATTGAAGGAAAGGAAATCACTTTATATTATGATCAAGGAATATATGGATAGTGCATAGCTGTGGTTTTGAATAATTGTGTGCAAGACATCTAGCAATTATGTCTTAAAGCAATGATAAGAATTTTTGTTATAATTAGCAATTTGTAAGAGAACACTTACTTTCAAAGCTACTGTTAACAAAAATACTTTTCTAGTAGAAGAGTGTTACATACCGTTTTGATTTGGCTGCTGAGAAACCTGAACATAAAAAATATAAGAGATTATTGATATATTATTGGATGATACCAAAAAAGTCATAATAATTAACAACATCATCGCTAAGACATACAATGAACCCTCAACAAATTCAAGAAACGAATTAGCATTGCCATGACTATTTATAGTTTTTTTGTTTTAAATATTTAGCTAAAAAATTACTTAAAACTAACTTCTTTTGCTTACAAAAATAAAGTCTAGCCAAACAATAATTTTTTTTTAACTGAAACATAAAATGGAAAATAGATACTTACTGTGTTGAAAATCAATGACAATAATTGAAATCCCAGCAGGAAATGTGTCCTCATTTCTTATCGAGTGGCTAGTGAATCAACGCTTCTTCTTGATCTGGAAATATAATATCATTTTCAGTTAATTTGAATGTTATATTTTATACAACATTTAAAAAATAGAATGCGAATATATTTTACTGAATAAAAAAAAATCCATGAAATAAATTTTCATAATTTTAAATCAAATGTAATCTTCTATTTTAAGAAATAGTATTTCAGAATGAAAAACCAAAATCATTTTCTATTTTAAACTCAAAATTGAAAATTCAAAGAGGAAACCGAATTAGCCCATGCTTAGTTCTCGGTTTCTGAATGTTGGAAATTAAGCATAATTCTTGAATAATGAAAAAAATTAAATTTGATACATGAATTAGATTATTTAATATTCATGCATTTATTTAAATCATGTATCCAAATGTTTCTTTGTATCATATTATTCATAGTACGTAGGAAAAGTCATTAATTAGTCTATTAAGTTCATATAATGTATTTGGGATCCTTTGTACCTATAAAAGGCCTTGCATTTGAGACATTTTATAAAGACAAGCCATGGAATACAAATATTTTTTGAGAATTCTGTGAATTTTTCTATCTAGTCTTTAGGGTTATGGGTTTAGGGTTTGGGGGTTTTTTTTTTTTTTTTTTGGCAAATACCACCAGTGTGGCTTATTTTATAATATAGGAAATGAGAATACACATAAAGAAGGGCGACATAAACCTGACCTCCTGTAAGTGAAAAAAATTACAAATGTCTCAAATGAAGCTCAAATGACATTAAACGAAATGTGTCTAAAAAACTAGTGAATAATACTCAAGGGTATTCCCGAGGATAAATCTTTGGGTGATATTACACAGACATCGATCGTGTCATGCGTCTGGTTTGTAGTTTCTGGGACACAATGTGCAAGCCATGTTCGGGACACGTCCCGGCTGCGGCAGGGACGCAACTTGTGTTTCAGGAATTTTTAGGCAGTTTGTGGGCATCGTGTGCAGGCTACGTCAGGGACGCGTCCTGACTGCGGTAGGGACACAACCTTATTTTCAGGCATTTCTAGGCAGTTGTGGGTATGGTATGTGGGTAATGTTCGGGACGCTTCCCGGCCACATTAGCGATGCTAGCAGATTATCAACCAAACAAAAGAAGCATGGTGTGTAGGCCATGTCAGGGGTGCAAGCACGTTCCCAAGCATTCTGGGCAATTTCTGTTTCACGGTGTACATGCCATATTCAGGTCAAGTCATGGCCACGAAGGGGCGCAGCTTGATTTTTAGGCATTTTTTGACAATTTCTAGGCACTGTGTTCAGGCCATGTCCGAGACGTAGCCTGATTTTCAGGCATTTCAAGGTAGTTTTCGGGTCATGGTGTGCAAGCCATGTCCAGGACACGTCCAAGCCAAGACAGGGATGGAGCCTAACGTGGCCAGGAAGCATCCCGAACATTACCTGCATATCGTGCCCACAAACTACCTAGAAATGTCTAAAAATAAGGTTGTGTCCCTACCGCGGCCAGGACGCGTCCCGGATGTGGCCTGCACACGGTGCCCACAAACTACCTAGAAATTCCTGAAAATCAGGTTGCATCCCTGCCACAGCCAGGACGTGTCTCGGACATGGCCTACACACTGTGTCCCGAAAACTGTAAACCAGACGCATGACACAATCGATGTCTACGTACTATCACCCAAAGACTTATCACAGAAATAGTTAATGATGACATTAGTATACTAGGAGTGTATTGAATGGACCACATGTCGAGTTTAATTCTATAGTATAATCATGCGGAGAATTAAATTCCACTTGATCATGTGTATTTCATCTAAATCACTTGACGGAATTATGTATATCATTTCATAATTTTAATGATTTTTTGATTCATCAATGGGTGAGTCAATTTGGTTGGTCAAATATCTCGATGAGTTGGGAACTTGAGAATGGGCGGAGTAGAGAACATGAATTCGTGTCAGGAATCGTCACCCTGAAAAATGGGTAGAGTTACTACTTTAGTATTATACGTTAAACGGTTAAAATCTAAGTTTTGTGTTAAACGACGGTTAAATTTCAACATCTGTGATTAGTTCAAGGACTATTGAAGAAAATGGTACTTAAGTTAGTGAGAATAATTAGGACGATATGATCATTTATGCTCGTCCTTAAGTATTGGATCTCTGATGGGGATAAAATACATATATTCCAAGAGTTCAGTCTTTTGCCTTTAGTGAAAAAATCAAAGACTAACAATTAGATTGGGTGGTCTAAGATCGACTAGACAATATCTACTATTGGAGCTTGGATAATATATGTTCAATCAGGTCCCTGCGGTAGCTTCATAAAGTATTAGAACTTCATTATAGTAATTATAATAGTTTTTGACTTAATAATAATTAAATAAAGTTTTGTATTTAATTGTAATTACTATGAAAATTGTAAACGTAATTATAATCGTAATTGAAGTTCGAGGACTGCACATGTAATTAAATGTAAACTAATTGGATTCGGATTTAAATTAAAACTCCAACTTGGATTTTAATTAGAACTTTTATTTGAATGTTGAATTATTATTTTACAAGGACTGTTACTATTAAACCTTTATAAATAGAGGTTAGATGAAAATTAGACAACCTATGAGTTTGAATAGAATTATACTACAATCAAAATATATAATTTCATAGTGTTCAATTTTGGAGAGAAAATAATTATTTTTCTCATCATATTCAATTGTCCAGTTCAAGAATTTATTTCTTAATTTAATTAAAACAAGGTGCCCACCTATTGGTATAGTTTGACTTTGGAGAATACCACCTATTGGTATAGTTTGACTTTGGAGAATACCATGGAAGACTTAGAGGTTTGAAGCATCAAGTTCTTGGAATTAGAAAGACTAGAAGTTCGAGATCCATAAAGCTGGAAGTTCGTGATTCAAATTTATTTAAGAATTGACCATCAAATTTAGGTAAAAATTCAAATCATTTATTCTTGATATAACATACATGTGAACATCTAGAAAATCCTATTTAATAAATTAAAGAAAACTTTTAATTTCTACATTATTTCAGGTACGAGAGATTCTGTTCGTGTGTTTTATTTTTGTCCTCAAGCTCGGGAATCAGCAGGTATAAATTTTTGATAGCATCATTGGCGTCATCTGCCAGAAATGCTATCAAAAGCCATGGTCAACACATGCTCAAGACCTCTTCCAGCAAGCTCATCCGCACTAGTTTGACCCCCTAACAGAGATCCACAAGTTTCTCTAGGAGCATCACTAATCTACCAAATGTTTCTTCTACAAAGTTTAAAGATCTACATCAACAAGTTGTCTTGTTGACTCAGTTGCTAAGCCAGTAAGTTCTATGGCCAATGCTCAAGCTCATCGTCCTGTTACTAATATTGGTAGAACAAAGTCCTCGGGTCAACCACAGCCACCTCTCATGACCATGGGTTCGAGATTATAGCTATGACCTCAGACGAGATTTATAGAATCACTCAAGATGAAACCAGAACAATTAGTGCTCGACAAGTATTATCCTTGACACTCACATATGCCATAAAGGGCGAGGCATTAAAAATGTATTTTTCAAATACCCCCACCAAAATTAAGGATCGATCTACTCATCCCAAGGCCTCGAGGTCCAAGTATACTATTTCATGCATTTTCTAAAATATAATTTATACCGCAAGTGTATGGTGTCAAGTTTTGTAATCTAAGGTAAAGTACCTATATCAAACCCACAGGGATTGATATTTAATTTCTTCTAAGTACTATAATTGTGTTGCTCTTATTTTATTTAATGAATGAAATTTGGAATTAGTGGTTTTAATTAAATTAACGTGATGAATGTGGTGACAAATTGAACAAATAAATGCAAGTTAGAAGAATAATCAAGATGAGAAAGCCTAAGGTTATGATTTCACCTAACTATCAAATATG